TAAAAAAAGTCATATTCAGCGGTACGTTCCACCTCCAGCAGGGTTGCCTCTGTTGCTTATTGAAACTTATTGCATGTTTATATGGCTCCATGCGGAGGTTTATTTTGCGATCATCCACGTGCCCTTTTCATTGTGGTAGGTAATACGAGTTCACCTCCTCGCAAGTTATTCCGCCTGTTTAAGATGAATATTTCACGGTAAGTAATTACCGCAATATATAAAGATGAAAAAGAGGCAAATCCAACTAAAGAAGAATGCCATTCGTTAGCTAGTGACCAGGAGTCTTCGAATTGAACTCCTAAAAAAAAATTCTAGGGTGAAATAAACTCAGGAACAGACAAAATTTGTTTTATCATGTTTTGACTGGGTTCGCATAAAAACATTCATTTGTAATTCTTACACTCAAAAATAAAATGTATCGTGAATTATACATCCTGAATTTCCACAACTATTTACTATCAATCTAGTTTTATTTTTATTTTGATAAAACTGTTGGTAACAAATTACTTAGTTTATTTGGAAACCTACCTTCTCCTGTACAAACAAAGCATACCTAACGGAAACATCATTTTCCATTATTATTGCAAATTTGTTCTATGCCATGAAAAAATATCACTAATAACCATACTGATTTTCTTCAGTCAAGAACTGTTCCCCTCTAGTCAAATTTGAGTAATATCTAATGGAGATTCAATGAAAATCAAATTTATATATTTTTTTCGAAATTCTTCGGGCCAAGGCAAAATGAATAATACATACTCAATTTTGTGAAAACCATTTTGATTTGCAGCAATTCAAAAATGCCCATAGAAAAACATACAGTGTGGATCATATCGAGCTTCCATCAAAAGTTTGAGACGAAAGAGTAACGCTATCAAAAAGTGTTTCATACAAAAGTTCTGAATTTCAATGCATTCGGCTTCTCTAAAATATTGTTTAATATACAGGGCATCCAGTAAAAGCGTGGAGTTAGGTGTCTATAATCGGATGGATATATATTTCATATTCGGATTCCGTCAGAAAAGTACTTTCAAAAAATATATATACCCAACAGAACAGAAGTTATTCGAAAAATAATGTCGAAAAATGTATTTATTTATCCGTCATCATTTTCAATGAGAAATCATTCTTATTTCATATTTGATTTACCTTTGAAAAGTACTTTCTGAAAATAAGGAGTGGCACGAGTCCATACCTAGCGATTCAAAAACATTCCTCAAAAACATACAAAACAAATTTCAAACACAATTTTATTGACAAACTTATTCATCTCAAAGATTTCGGATGATTATTTTTTTCACTTTTTATGTTTTTCTTGATTTCTGAAATGAACGCTGTCATTGATGTTGACGAAGTGAACTCTTTTGTATCTCCTATGAGAATTTTCAATATTTTTTAAAATTTTTACGTTAGTAAGAGTCTCGAGAACAGTCATTTTGATAATATCCTCTTTTCATATTCCCAAACGAGTTGATGATCTAGAGATCTAATAATTTGTCTCAAATTTATTTCACTCTGAAATTTTGTTTCCTGAGTTCACGCCTAGAACTTTGAAACT